GAATGTTCATAATGTAACTCATGTATGTCCCAGGAATATGCATGTACATCACATGAATGTTCCAGGTATATTCTGGGAATATCATTTTGCTATGTGGGAACACCTACGATTAGCCGAACACTTACCTGTCCCGAGTAGAAGACGTTGGCTAAATCCAACGTATAATCGCTGCCGATCATTTTTTAGCCGCCTTTTCACTTTCCAACCCCAACCTGTTGCTCGCACAGGTTCCACACAAACACCAGAACCACCTGCCCAATATTTACATTTCAAATGGTCCTTCGAACCCTGATCGTTCTACCTGCGATGTTCTTCACAGGTAACTGATCGCGAAGTCAACTTTCGAGCGGTGGGGAATCGAAAAGTCATGGTATGCAGAGGAAGGATGGTCGCTATACCAGATGGTCTATGGGTGACCATCAAAGCGCGGAGGAAATAGAAGACAGTTTTGAGGTGTGATTGGTTTATTGAGGAGAGAGCGGGTTTTGCAGGAATATTTCCACACTCGCTGCTAATTTGAACTGAAAAAATCTTGGGATATATGCGAGAAGATTTGGAGTCATTGGGGCGCTTAATGACCGCACAAGCCTGTCTGTTTGCCAAAATACTTCCGTGGTTCACCCTGTATAGTGAGGATATCAAACTTTAGTTCTGCTACGCATAATACAGTGGGTACCACTATCGCCCCCTTTTCCACTCGCGCTGGTAACTTTGATTCGGCCGCGTTGGTACCGGATTCTTACCTGTTTTCTACGTCATGCCGTTGGTATTCGGTGGCTCTTTGATGGTACGCAAAGAGTACCATAACAGTTAATTCGGGCTTCTTCAGGTCCCCAGTGTAATCGGCTAAAAGTGACTAGAGAAGTGCTGCTAATTTTTCGTCACTCTTAATGGTTGCTAGTGTCGCGCTATAAGGGATTTCGAGTTTCAGCTTCTTTGAGTGGTTGCTGATGAATTAGGGCATATTATGGGTGAGCCATATTATGGGTGAACAAATCAATTATTTGGGTTGTTTTTGTGAATTAAATCAAAATCAATTTCTGGGCTTCAGTCATTTATTGTCTATTTATCAATTAAAATACGTTTCGGTGTTTTCCACCATCATCAGTTTCTATGTGTAGCGTTGTTGCTACTTTAAGCCTTGGCATATATTTGGAGTCTCCAAAGGAGTCACAGTCAGGAAAGTATGTACAATTTTTGAATTAACTAATAGCGGTCAGCGCTGTTGTAACCGGCAGCTTTCAGTTTTTCGAATGCCAACCTTGGTTCCTTCCTTGGTTTATGGCTGCTGTTGCAACCAAATATTAAGCGAAAATGAGCCACTGGCTGAATATCGGGACCGGATTTTTTCGTGCCGAAATAAGCGAAAAAGCGTAAATAATTAATCTGCGTTGAAAATCGCTTTGGTCAAAACTTTCCAATTTTGTCTAGGATAGAAGCGAGAGAAATTGCAAAAAGCACCTTAAACCTTGGTAAGTCTACACATTTGATTGGGTTGATGAGCTTTTTAAATTCTGTTTGAGTGCAAACAGGACAGTTAAGGGCAGAATAAGAGCGCAAAACGCTCAACAAAGTCCGGCGAAGCCAACGGGCGCATAGAACAGAGGCCCGTTTCTTTCCAACAGTACTCTTAAGCTAGCGATATATTTATTCATTGCATTTTACTTTTAACAGCGAATTACCCAGCCATTAAATTTGTTTATTTGCATTTATTTGCAGGATTGCGTGTCGGGGAACATTCTAACATGTAACAGTGCAACAGCCTTTCGTGATATAATTCCTTATTAAACACTTTTCCCTTGTTTCAGCATGCAATTCACTAAAATCGAAATCGACATAAACAGACATTTCCCGAAGGAAATATGTTTCCATTTGTCCGCCAAAAACCCGCAATTCATCAGGCAACAAAGAGTAAAAGTGTGTTATACTAATGAGTACGTTTGCAGGACAGCCTGATTACGCCCCAGCAGGGTAATTACATGCTGGCTGATTTTCTTGTCGCAACAAGAACGCTTTTCTCTCCCGCAAATTGCCCAATATTTTCAGTTAGATGCACAGCAAATGCCAACATTTCGCTGCGTTTTTAAAAATTGGCATTTCGTCAATTTTCAATGACGCCCCAAATTAGTCCTTGGTGTTTTCCAGATCGGTGAAAGGTCCGATCGTGCTTAATGTGATCATTATGGTACATTCCATTGGGTTCCTGCAGCTTAAGCGGGCTCTTTCGCATAACTTGCCAAGAATTTCGGTTCGTGAGGTCAAGGCGCAAACAATTGGAATTCGGATTTTTTTGTGGGTGTAACTGACTGGCTAAATTCGCCAGAACTGATCGATCTTCTGATCTGAAAAAATCGGATGTGAAGCCATAAGAATGAGGCCCTGACCACCAGGTCCAGATAAAGAAACAAGTTCACTTGCCGTTCTTTTTCTCATTATCAACTGCTCTACTTTTTAAGTAAATTGCTATAAGTTGTCATTTCCTTGAAATTTTCTCTTTTTTTCTGCTGCTGATGGCGCACCAGCTGTTTGATATGAAGAGTTCCAATGCAAACATGCGGCAAACTTTCTCAGTGGTCAAAGGGTGCGGTGGAAGCTTGTTTTTGACAAAAGAACAGTCAATTTTACTGAGAAGGTAACTAGACTGTAAAGTCAACTTTTACTGGTTCTGTTCGGGGAACTATTTTTGGGAAAAAATCCAGGAAAACTTATTAGGGTTTTGTCCAAAATTCGAAGCTGCAAAAGGTTCCAGAAAAACTTTACAAAGCTGTTCAGCAGCCGAGTGTTCTAACTAAATTTATTTTATATTTTTCTCAGAAATTACCTGAAGATTGTCAGTACCTACTTTTAATATAACAAAAAAATAAGGCGATTTTTGCGTCGACCTGAAAATTTTAAGGAACTTTAGAACTCTTCAGAGCGATGAGGGCGGCGAATTTTCCCAATCATTTTTTGTAAACTTTTGTTCCCTGGTCGTGTTTTCAAGATATTCTTAATTACTTTCGGTAAAAAACTGAATAACATTCCGGTTTTTGTGCCAAATTCGAAGCTGAAAAGGGTTTTCAAAAGTTCCTGCAAACCGATGAATGAGGCGAATTTTCGAGCAA